GATGACTGGAGGATTTCGAAGGGCGCAATGACGATTGCCAGAGGTAGGAAGACTGGTACCCTGTATATGACAGCAGGTGCACGTTGTTCGATCTCAGTTGCAGCAGGCAATGAGACTTCAAAGCTGTGGCACCAGAGACTCGGTCATATGAGTGAAAAGGGGATGAAGGTTATGCACACAAAGAGAAAACTCCCAGGTTTACAATCAGTAGAGATTGATGTGTGTGAAGAATGCATACTTGGAAAGCAGAAGAGAGTTAGCTTTCAGGCAAGTAGCAGACCCCCCAGGAAGCAGAAGCTAGAGCTTGTTCACTCGGATGTTTGGGGACCAACAACCACCGCGTCGATTGGTGGGAAACACTACTTCGTGACTTTTATTGATGATCACTCTCGGAAAGTATGGGTCTACTTTCTGAAGAAAAAGTCAGAAGTGTTTGAGGCTTTCAGAAGATGGAAAGCCATGGTCGAGAATGAGACCGGTTTGAGGGTAAAGAAACTCAGAACAGACAATGGTGGTGAGTATGAAGACACCAGATTCAAGAAGTTCTGCTATGAGCACGGTATCAGAATGGAGAGGACCGTGCCCGGCACGCCTCAGCACAATGGTGTGGCTGAGCGCATGAATAGAACGTTGACAGAGAGAGCCAGAAGCATTCGGATGCAGTCAGGTCTACCGAAGCAGTTCTGGGCAGAAGCAGTCAACACAGCAGCTTACTTGATCAACCGAGGTCCATCGGTTCCATTGGAGCACAGAATACCAGAAGAGGTATGGTGCGGAAAGGAGGTAACCCTCTCACATCTCAAAGTTTTCGGTTGTGTAGCTTATGTGCATATAAGTGATCAAGGCAGGAATGAGCCTGATCCCAAGTCTAAGAAATGCACATTCATCGGGTATGGTGAAGACGAGTTCGGCTACCGCATTTGGGACAACGAAAACAAGAAGGTGATCAGGTGCAAAGATGTGACATTCAACGAGAAGGTGATGTACAAGGACATGCACAAGACAGATGACGGTGACTCAGAGAGCGAGTCAACATTTGTAGATGCAGATGATGTTCCGGATAACCTCTCGGAAGAACCCAATGCAGAAGATCCTCAGCCAGAAGAGACTGTTGGACAGAATGGTGCGCAGAAGCCCGACGCACCAGCTCCGATGTTAAGGAGAAGTACTCGTCCTCCTGTGCCTAACAGCAGATACATGAATTATATGTTGCTGACAAATGGAGGAGAGTCTGAAAGCTTTGATGAAGCTTGTCAGAGTGGAGATGCGAGCAAGTGGGAGTTTGCTGCGAAAGAAGAGAAGAAATCTCTGATCTCCAACCAGACATGGGGACTAGCTGAGTTGCCCATGGGGAAGAAGGCACGTCACAACAAGTGGGTGTATCGAGTGAAAAAGGAGCAGAATGGTTCCAGAAGATACAGAGCCCGACAAGTTGTCAAAGGATTTCAACAGATTATCCAAGGAAGAAAGGTCCAGCGGATATCAGAAGATACAGAGCCCGACGAGTTGTCAAAGGATTTCAACAGAATTATCCAAGGAAGAAAGGTCCAGCGGATATGTTGACAAAGGCAGCGACCTTTCAAAAACTGAAGTTGTGCGCAACTTCAGTTGGCCTTCATGCATAGATGATGAAGGCGGAGCCATACAGGAGAGGAGCTTGATGAGATAGCCTGTTGACGTCGGTTTGGTCTCCAAGTGGGAGATGAACTCCAGGCTCAGTTCGAGATGGAGCTCGAACAGGCGAACGCGATGCTCGTGGCGAACGCGATGCTCGTGGCGAACGCGACCCTCGGCCTTCGGGATGCCGACCTTCGCGTCCAGACGCTCCCACCTCCGCGTCCAAGTGATCGCTGGCGACAGGCTGTCGCCAGCCTGTCTCGATTCGGCTATAAAAGCCCCTCGAAGCCCTAGGGTTTGGGCGGCTCCTCCTCCCTGAGTTTTTCCCTCTGACGGCGGATCCCTAACGCAGCAGCGTTCAATTTTTCGGCCCCTCTTTGAAAATCGCAGCAGCGATTTTATTTTTGATCTCCAGCTCTCAAATTAGGGATTTGAGGGGAGATAAAGAAAGGGTTTAAGAAGAGTCAGAAAAAGAGAAAAGGGTATTTTAAAGTGGGTATTAACACTGTATCTACAGTGTTTAAGTTTGAGGAATCTCAGTTTAGAGATTTGCTCTTAACTTGTAATTTCTTGTTAGATTAAATAAGAAATTAACTGTGTGGCTCCCGAGGACGTAGGCAGTTGCCGAACCTCGTAAATCTTGGTGTACTGTTCTCTATACTGCGTTTCTGTTGCATTAGGGGATTTAGGCGTTAAATTCCCAACAGTCCAAGCATTTGTTGTTTTTTAAAGATATATAAAAAGTTCAAGAGTATTATTCATACCAAAGGCATTTCCAATATCTTTTCCATCGCCAAAGGCAAGTATCACTGAAACACACAAAACCATGAGAATGAAGTTTGTTTCTGGGGAGTAAACTTCCCCTTCTTTATGTTGAGATGTATGCACTACTTTCACCCGTGGAAAATAATCAAGAACCACCGATTGTTTAATCACCGAGAATGTCGCAGATATTAGAGATTGACTCGCCACAATTGCTGCCGTAGTTGCAATGATAAACATAGGCCAATAAACAGGAGTCGGTACAAATTTATAGAACCCATCGGCAAAGTCATCAAGGTGTCTAATCAGATATGCTGTTTGCCCTGCGTAAGTAAGGACCAATGAAGGATATATTGTGAAAAGAAATGCCATCTGCATTAAGAGTTGAAATATGATGTTATGAATCAATCAATATATCCTTGGATTTATCAAATAAATACAATTTATATTGTTTTCCTTCAGAAAGTTGGTATATTACCTGAATTGACCTCTTGTTGAAATGACCAAGATCAGCAAACATTGCTTCAGCTCCTGTTAATATAAAACACACAGGAGATTTAATAATAAGCTTAATGTGATGATGATGCAGATGATGATGAACATGATGATTGTGGGTACACAGTAAGCGCTGATACGGAAAACAATGCTATTGGTTTTAATTTTATTTGTGCAGGCGGAGACTGTTTTGGCTATCATTTTTTGGATACTGATATTTTTTTGTTCAGGCTCAGGTTCTCATTATAGCCTTCCATAAACAAGAGTTAATTGTGGATAGACCCCTGTAATATCGCCCGATTGTGACACCTTGAAGTTTAATTGTTGCAGATGATCCCAATGAATTTTTTTGGCTCTATCACCCTCAGAGAAGGAGAAAATTGTTTTTTTGGCAAATAGACCTC